TTTCTTGCTGGGTATAGAAGGTATATGTACGAGTCTACATGTATATTTACATGTACCAGTAATTTAACCACAAAAAATCTGTTTGCTTTAAATGTAAAAGAAGAAAAAGTTGAGGATACAATGATAAAATATGAGTGACACACTGTGGTTAGAGGGCGTGTCATTTGTGTACACCTGCGTCTTTCTGTTCAATTGAAATTTGCATTGTATATGTTGCGTTGGCTTGCCGTGCGTGCTTATGGATGGCAGAAGACCTGGGCACCTGTTTCTTCACCTGCAGTAAAAGTATGCCTGTTGCCATTTTTCCATTGGACTTTTTCTTCCGCGGGCACGCAGAAACTTACTGTGACATTCCTTCGTATCAATCCACTGTGCATTCCAACTTCGACTTTTTCTACCGTAACGGAATGTTTATTTGTTGTGCTAGGCTTAATAAGACCAGCTGATTACATTGCCTGCGCCGTACAAATTTGACGAAATCGGTAAAATCTGACTAAAAATGATAAAAATCAGACCAATTTGGCCAAACCTGCCACAAATAAGATGTACCCGCACAGGAAAAGCTCCATACACGATGTGTGCATAGCTTTTTCCGGGTACGCTTCACTGTGTGTACGTGGCATGCTGCTGTACCGTATGCACGGAGCAGGAGACTGGGAACCATACAACTATTTTCCCATGCCCGCTATCGATCTCTGTGTAGCAGTAGTCTGGTTCGTAGCTTTAGTGTGGTCGTGGTCAATCTACATGTGCATTGTACGGGAACTGTTCGCATTGGACTTTTTTGTGCCCCTGCTAACTTACCATGGCTGTGTGGAAATCTTCCACGACCCTTTTCGGCCCGTTAGTTTTACATCACGATCGTGATAAGTAAACAGGGACGTTATTTAGTTTACCGTATTTTCCCATCGCATTTAATCTTGTAATTCAACCGGAAAGTCGCAGTAAGTTAACCAAAAAAGTCACGGCTTAAGAAGTTTTTTCGGAGTACAGATGAATTGTCAGCTGTTGATCATGGCTGACAATGAGTATCTCAGGCCCGCAGGTGCATTGAGAGCCTCTGCAGGGCTCTCTCTCTCTAGGTACATGTACCGCCTACCGGTACACCTTGCAAGATGGGAGCAGACTCATGTGTGAGTTTTATCCTCCACTGGTAATTGACCCCGACACATTAATTGAATAGCTGACATCCTGAATGCACACATGACGAGATACACCAGTCGATACGTGTACATGTACATGTACCTGTTGGGTGCACGAACACACGTTTTTGAGGGAAAATAATTTGCCATCTTGAGAACCAGTACATTTTCCTGTATCATACTCTTAGGTACATGTCGGTTACAGACAGGTGTTTTTCATTGTAGTCTTCACTAGACCATAGGCTTACATGTACTAAATATTATTTAATAAATGTTATTTAATAAAGCTAGAATTGGTTAGTGGCTGCCCAACTTGAAGCATGTTACTCTACACACATGTAACTTAAATGGGCTTATTTGCTGTGAACGAGATCAGCACCTGTAAGGGGGTTGTCTGTATATTGTACATGTACCTTGAATCTGTGTTGCCAGTTTGGGAGGGGGGTGGGGCAAGTCTTCCCCCTCCTCCCCAGCATTGTAATGGAATAGGACATGGGGCCGTTTCCAGCTGAACAAAAAATTAATTTGGCTGAATGGGGGCAAGGAAAGAAAACCGGCAAGAGTTGGAGTTGAACCTGCAACTTGTCAGTCGTCTGTCTTGAGTTCTTCCAACACTCTGTATTGGGGGTCACACGTGTAAACACGAGCCCGCCGTGCATGTATACGGGCATGTATACGTACTTGTACATTGGTGAACCTCTGAAGATAGAATGAGAAGAAGATTTTCAGTTGAAAATCCTGCCGTGAATGTCGGCGTTCGCTGCAAAGCAGGATGGTCGCTTCGCAAGAATGATTGGGGCCAGCAGATTTTCCTCTCAGTGCCAGCCTCAAACAAGTACTTGTCTGCCACTCGCCAGTCTGACCAATAACCCGTGTTAGCGGCAGCAGAGGGGTCAGGATGAAACCTCTGCTAAATACCTGGAATTTGTGTGGTGAAGCTCTACATTTTGGGGTCATGCAAGTGAAATTGGACCCTGATTACAAACGTCAAACAGCGATCAGATGCTATGCGGAAATCAGCCAGAACTGGGGCACGCTAATGTCAGGAGATGCTGACTGATTAAGAACAAAAAAAAGTCGGCAGTGGAGAAGAGGGACGAGTTGTTTCATTTTTCCCTTTTTTTTTTTTCTCTCTCAAGCAATGCACTCCCCACTCCAGATTGAAAAAACTTTGTTGTGGAAGAAAACAAGTGTCAGGAATGCCTGTACTGAGAACAAAATGGTTAGAATTGCCCCAGGCAAGTTTGTTAGGATTTTTAGAACCTGTCAATTAGTGGAGAAAAAGAGTGGAAATGATCATCCCAGGAGGATGCAGTTGCAACCCAGCGTTAAAAGACATGGGAGACAGGGGTACTGTCTCTTACATCCATTTGAAAGTTTCAGTCCTCGCTCCGAGAGTGCCAAAGAGAAGCCGCTTCCATCCCCGTCTCTTGTTCAGCGCTGGCACAAACGCCCGCGCTGTCAATAGCTGGGCATTGTTTGCTTTTGCCCCGGCGGCACACAAGCTCGATTCATGGCCAGTTCCGCTCGCTTGCCATAAATGGCACCCAGTCATGCCACTGCCTCATCTCCATCCTCCGGCTATTTCCTGAGCATTATCCAATTTTTGTTTTCACCGTACCTCCTCCTCCACTCCTTTCCATTCATCCGGGGGAGGGGGGGGACGGAACTCGGCAGGTCTTTTCTAACCGTTCCATTCCCCCTTTTCCCGTATGTTCCATGTGGCTAGACGGGCACATCTTATTGAGGGGACACAACGCTCCCTTCTCCCCTCCCCTGCCCCAGTGGGTTTATGTACAACATGCTGCTGCCCTTTCCATAATGCATGTCGTTCGGCACGAGACTTTGGTCAATTATTCTGAGAACGTGGGCGTCGAGTATCTTTCTCTTTGTGTAGGAAATCCAGTATCAGTTTTCTGTTTTTCTACAAGTACATGTGAGATGTGTTTCGGAAGCCGTTCCCAGTGTGAAATGTAGCACACATAATTATATGTACATATGCTGTGTAGATTTTAACTGCTCTGAAACTTGCTAATACTTTTGCTTCATCTCGTCCAGAACTATTTGGCAAAATGTTCAGCATGTGACACAAAAAACTTCCGTTTCTTTTGCTTTTTTATTCTCACTGAAAACAGTTGAATGGTTTTTGTTGCATCTGGAAATGTACAGGCGTATTTGGAGAGTCTATTAAATTGAAACTCCAGGAATGGAACTTGGAAAAAATATCAATTTCTGGACATTTTTTTTTTTTTTCATTTCCCATTTTATCTCCCATTTCATGCCCTGCCATGGACCAGCCCACAAATTCTCTGGAAGGAGTTTTGTATTATTTTAACATTGTCCAAATACCCAGGATCTCTCATAGTGTGTTGGATGAAGGATTGAAAATATGTGAATAAATGTTCAAATATTTCTGTTTGTCTTTTACAGTCCTATATGTTTTGACATCATTGATGAGGCACACATGACAAAGTGCGGACACAGCTTTTGGTGAGTGTGTTTCAGAAGTAAATAGATGAAATCAACCGTCACTGAAATGAAAGCAAAAGGAGAACAAGTTTTTTTTTTTTCTCACTGGCTACCTGGCCTGCTGCAAAAATGGCAGTGGTGGTGGGAAAGAAAAGCCTTCCAGAAAATAAATCAATTTTTTTGTTGGCATCACGACTTGTAATTCTCAAATGATTTCGTTTTTCAAAGAAGTGTTGCTTTAAATGAATACCTTCTGTATGTTTGTTTGTTTGTTACTTTGTGAACACATTGTGTATGTTTTTGTTTTGATTCCTGCAGTCATAAGTGTATCATCCAGAGCTTGGAGGAGAGTAACCGCTGTCCAAAGTGCAACTTTGCCATTGAGAAGAACGATCAGATATTCCCCAACTTTGCACGTAAGTCAAGAAAGGCAAATACGTCCCTGCATGTACATGCAGAATCCTTTATCAGATGGTAAGCAGCGGTCCATCCACATTGAATTCCCGAAGGTTGAAGCAAGTTGCCTCCAAATAGCACGCACTCAAATAGGAGCCTGTTACTCACCTGTGTGGTCCGCAGCATTCATGTGCATTGCATGCTCGGGACGTCATCGGCTAAATCATCCGGCAGCCCGGCCTTTTAATCATGAGAGGTTGAGGCTTGTTTTTTTGTCTTGAGTGTTTCCTTTTCTGAGGGAAATTTTTGGGAAACAAACTTTGCAGTGTTTCAGAGCAGATTTTATCACTTGCATGAGTCAGATAAAATAGTAGCAGGTTTCCGCCCCTAAATGTCAAAAATTGCCAGGTGAGGGAATTATATGACATTGTTTTATTTTGTTTGAATGGCTAATTTCGAAAACTTTTCTACCTTTACTTCCCACCTTCTGATGTCTGTCAAATCCATAAGGGAGATTTGTTTGGTTCTGTGGGATTTGGGAAGGTTGAACCCAGGAATAGTGGCCTTACACAAAGCTAGATGCTCCTCGGAATTGTAATGCAAAGAATAGGCCGCTAGGTTTATGCATAGTGAAGGGTTTTGTTGGATTTAGGAATGGGATGTCTACTTCTAAAGCTTGGCACAAGAGCACGGGGACATCAGGCAAAGGAGAAATTTTTGTACCTGTTTCATAACAACTCGACAGCATAACGTACATGTACATTGTGGTATGCTGTGTTTAGCAAATCTGTTCTAGGGAATGTGTAAATATGCATATCCTGGCATGCTTGTGTCTCACAAGTAGACAGTCAGTGATAAGCTACATTCAGTGGTATCAAGAGCAACTGCCCTGGAGATTTCAAATGATCAGCTCAACTCATTTCCTTACGAGGATGAGCCATTAGAGACTTGACGCAGTTCCTGCACAACTTGCATCAGGGTTTTTCTCTTTTATAACGGATGAGAAGAGTCGTGTGAAGCTGGGCATATGGCAGCTTAATAGCTGCAGTACCCTGAAGAACAGCCGGGGTACATGTACTTGCAGTGTCGTTACTCATCGGGACAGCTTGCCAGTCTAGTGCTGTCCCTCCATCCACATTTTGCAAACCTCGTTTGGATATCAATTCGAGGCAACCACCTTAATTTCCTCACATCTTGCGTGACCCGCCTGCCTCGGTTCAAATCCCCCCGGGGTAGATTGCGCTGATGGGCTGCTGCCTCGTGTGGATCCAGACTTCAATCACTGCTGGACACCTGATTGCATGGGGGAGGGAGGGGGAGTAGTTCTGGGAACTGCTGGCCGGCATCCCGCCTCCTCCCTTTCCCAACGTCTCTCCTCATTGTCTTCCTGTCTCGGCTTAATTGGTTTTCGAAGCAGGATGCAATCTCGTCAGTGGATTTATTTTTCTGGTGGAAATCGTCAACATCTTGATGCAGAGTGTTATGGTGTGCGCCAAAATCGAATGAACCGTGACATGAAAAGCCCCACATTCCTGCTCTGCCTGTACACTGAGTGTTTGTCATAATCTAAACTCTAAACCTCTACCATTTTCATGTGCACCGATATTTCTAAAATGTAAATGGTTGTATGATTGAACTGAGATGTACTTGCTTATTTGTACTCAACTAGTGACAGTTTTTTCCATCAGTACACCGAATTGCAGAAATTGTATCTCTGCTGTATGGAACATTCACATGAATTGTCATTTGCCAGTCATTTTTGTTTTGCCAACAGGTATGTGCACAGTGTACACGTGCTTATAATATATTTGTACATTTAAATGGCATACCGATTGTCATTACCAAAGTAACAAACACTTTAAATGAGCAGATTGCTTGAACATGCACATGAAAATCCAATCCTCTTTTTTTTCCCGTAAGAAATAATGAAAAATGATTTCTATAGAAAGTTCTACATAATTTAAGTAACAGAGACCTCTGCACTGGACTTGTCTCCCAAGGCATCTAGCCATGCGGCTGACAACTGAGTTCTGTCGTAATTTAATACTTGCCTGTAGCCGTCGGGAAGCATTGCCGCTCAGAATGAAAAATTCTCAAGATTTCCTCGCCAGTGTGTAAGAGCAACGTCATGATGCACTCCGAACGACCATTAATGTTGACACGTACCATTGTCAGAATCACGCCCACGCAAACATGCGACTTATTCATGGACTGTGACTTACGCAGTATCTCAGATAGTGTAATCCAGGATGTTGTTTGGGGAACATCGGAAACATTCTGAGTTTCTGCAAACCTTTGGGAGAAGAATTTATTCACCCAACAAGAGGAAAGGAAGGTAGCTCTATCCACCCAGCTTGGAAATTGTCCATTTTTACATTTGTCCTGTTTTGAACTCGACGAACAGAGAAATGTAGTTCCATTAAGCAAATAATTACTTCTGCTGGCTACCGGTTGTGCTTTTCACCGAGATGTATTTATCCATTGTGTCATGATGAAACAGTATAGTGTGTGCCACACTTTTCCCCCCGGGATGTTTGGCCATTCCAGGAAAAAAAAAACCCACATACCAGAAAAGTCTGTGGTGGATACATTTCAAGGGGGTTTCTTTCAAACTTTGCTGGAATGTGACCCTAGTTTCAAAGTAAAAGAATGGGAGGAAGGCGTGTGGAAGAGGCTTTGTTGCCGAGCCAGATGAATAACCTTCATGCATCCTTGAATTGAATGGATTACTTTGCAAAAGTATCTCTTACAGATGTTCCTCTGTGCTATTTGTTTTATTTCTACACACCTTCTTATGACTATATGATTTGGTGCCTTTTTTTTTAATCTGCAGTAAATGAGTTGATCTTAAAGTACCGGCAGAAATCCGACGAGAAACGAATGAAGCTCACCCCACCGGTAAGAGACCATGTGACTTGATTCCAACCCTACTTCCCCACATGGGTGACTGCCAGAAGCATCTCACCACCTTCCGGACTCCATGCCTCATCACCGCAAAAGATTGACAACATGTTATACTGTGCATGGAGAAACATAGTAGTGGTGTGCATGACTGGGCATGCCATCTGTTTGAGTAATCTGACTGAGATTTGGGTGCATAACTTGGGTGTTCCGTACACGTACACCACACTTGTTTGTGCGTCACATTCATGACTTAGCGTTCTGTCCATCAGTACTGTTACCAAACTGCTCGCGTGCCTCGGATTGAAGAACATACGTGATGCGCTCGAATACTGCGACATATCAGTTATGACTTCTAGTTTTGGTTGACTAGTTAGTCTAGCCAAGCCATGCGTGAAAAAGAGATAGCTTTTACATAACTGTAGCAATGGCTTCAGTCTTGAAGTCTGTGTCACAGTTGGCTGTCCTGTCATGACTCATGACTCTTCCGTGTGGCCTTTTTTTAAATGTGACTTTTTCCGCACGGGATATTAAAGTAACATTTTCCTTATCCTTAACCCACGAATTTCTCAGTTATCACTCAGTACGGGTCCAAAATGCTGTGCCATCCCGAATACGGTAGTAGGTTATCTGTGTAAATCCCCGGAATCGATTCACAGTGACGTAGTTGTTTCTGCACCGTGAGAGCTGTGTGCTATCAGTCAGTGAGGGACAGATCAGTGGTCCTGTCTGCTGTCTAAAATACAGGGCCCCAGCTTGTCTAAACAGTATTTGGGACGGGGTCGTGTGAATAAAAAGTAGCATTTGCATTGACTACCATTTTTGAAGCATTAACTCGTGTTTGTATGAATAATAACGAAGCCAATGATTCTACTTTAGTGCAATTGCTATAAAGTAGAAGTATTTACTTTTTACTGTTAAGCTTGTGCAGGACAATAAGCAGTTGCTTCATTTTGTAGGAATACAAATGAGTAAGCTCTACAGAATTGGAGTATTTACTTGACATTTTTCAAGACTGGGTCAGGGCAAGCTTGAAAACGAGGAGCATTTACTAATGTTCAAAAAGGCAGCGTTCATGAATGTCATTCGAAAGGAAAAGCTGTATGCCTTTAGGAGGGAATCTCAAGAAACCAGATGCAGGCAGTCGTACCCATTTGAGAGTGGCAGAGCAATTTTCGTCATCAAGGTTTTTGCGATCAAAATTACTGCCATTGTGCTTATCTGCCATGCTGAGGTCTCAAGATACAACACCATGCTGCACTGTATGCAGACAACGGAAGCCCTATTGTACAAAGCCGTTCGGCTGTGCAGTCAGCCACAAACATAAAGCATCTGCTAATAATACCAGTAGATGTTGAATTGTAAAAGAAACATTTTATTCCTACAAATTCAAGCATTGGCTGAATGTGAATGGTTTCATTTCTCAGTAAATGCTCTGTCGACCGTTATGGGGGGGGGGAGGATTTCCTACAAGCGAGGTACATGTAATCGTGCACTGGGTACGGTCCCTAAACATTCAACATAAACCTAAGACTAGCCAGCACACGGTTTCCATAGTGAACGGTGACCGACGAGTGCCTTCTGCTCTGGACTCTTTTACAGAATAGTCACTTCAGTGAGCTGCAGGAGCTGATCACGGATCAGGACAAATGGGACCTGACGGAAGTCAACCTGATGCTGGAGGTGCTCGTCAGCAAGAAGAGACAGCTGGAAATGGTGAGAGATGTGACTTATCATGATTAAACCTGGCCTCCCCCTCCTGCTCACTTGGTCTAGGAACATCCCTGAAACCATCTCAGTCCCTTGGGGAGTATGCAGCCCAATGCAGCCACTTCAACTGCGACTGGTACCCGGCCAACCAACCGGAATAACGCTCTGTGCTCTCATGTGTGTTCAGATCAACCCCTAGGTGGAGAGACAAATATGGGGTGCCGCGATTTGACCAAGGTCACTGAGTGACCGAGGTCCCGGTACAGGATTCTGACCGATGACCCTACGATCAGGAGTTGCAAACCCTAACCACTAGGCTTGTCCTCGTACGCTTGGGCAAAAAACAGGCCACATCAAAGCGCGCGTGCACTTGCCATACCATTGCAACTCTTTACTTCCTCGCATAATTTTCCACAAACATTTTCTCAACCCACCCTTTCAAGATCCATCAGAATGCATTTGGAGGTTTGGGAGGACTTTTGCTAGAATTGAGTAAGATAGAACTTTGCAGTGTCGATTTACATAGGACCTCAAGCCCCGTAAAAGTTTGGGTGCACAGATACACGTACGTGGGTTTCCTCAGAGACTAGAGGAGCTTGGAAGAAGGATGACACCATTGATATTGTAGCCGTCCACTTCCTGATGCAGAGAGGATACCTGACGAGCATTGCGCTCACTTGTGCAGTAGATTGATAACTTCTGACGTGCTGATTTCTTTCCCCCCAATTACAGGACAGCTGGTTTACTCACAGTCAAATCCTGAAGGAGTTTTTGGAACACGCAAAAAGGAGGAAACAGGAGGTGAGGGAGAAAAAAGTAAAGTGTGTCAGCCGCGAGACCACTCAAAATCAGCTTCCTTGTGAAATTTAATATTTCCAGCCGCAAACTACCGTAAGATACCTGCGAGAAGTGAGATGCATGAGGGTAACGTGCCTGTAAGAATTCTCCCATTGAATAAGGCAGGGCAAAGTGCATATAATGCTGTTTGTGCTCAAGTTTGAATTTTTGGTCCTGATCTTTGTATCAGCGCTCAGAACATTTAAGATCTCTGGCACAGTAGAGCAGCGAACGAGCTGAAACTTTTGCACGGCTCTTTTTTTTTCTTCTTTAAATTGATTTTTGTTACCGTATGTACACGTATTTTGGCAAATTGTTGAAAGCTTCTTGAAATTTCAACAGCTTTGCTGGGGTTTTAAAAAACTTTCTCTCTTACTTTTTTCTTTGGTGGGGAAGGAGGTTTTCATTCAGAAGGAATTCCAAAATTCAGTGCCGTTGTTGCCGGTACGCTAGCTAGTGAAATCATGTGGGTCTCATTTGTGATTGCAGCAACTAGACGAACTAACCAAGCAGATGAGACTCTTGGAGGAGGACACCAAGCGAGTGGAGGAGAGACTCAACCAGCATCGGGAGGTTTACGCATCCATGATGTCGGTGAGTGTCGGCCTCTTGGTTGCCATGAGAGGTGGACGCACACCCGGCCGGCTGGAAATGCCAGTGCCAAGGTGCTGCAGAACCTTGAAGTCAGGAATTAATGATGAGGGTGTCCCAATTTGCTTTCAATTAAAAGAAAATCAAAGCAAATTTTCACTTACGATATTGAGTTACATGTATAAATGACACAAAAACCAGATTGATGAAAACTGTCTGACTTTAACTGCTGGTAGGACATCATATGTTACTATTCCAAACAGCTTTCTATCAGGGTTGTGATTATGTCATCACAGTGTGATAAAAAGCCAGCCAAAAGTCATCTTGTCACAAGTCAAATCACAAACTGTTCAAATGACCCTTCTGTCATTGTTTTTCCCTGTTACTTCAGCACTCATGATGTGAAACATGCCTATTAAACCTGACTAGTGGTTTGATTTAAAACTATAAGTCTGCCTTCTGTTTAAATCTTGTGCAGCTTTTTGTTCAGGAAGCTTCTAAAAGCTTCATATGTAATGCGGAACAAGGATTCAAACTTACCGACCTTTCCTTTCGGAAATACCCTGTACAGTCATTTTTTTTGCATTGTCAATTAATGAGACTCAGAATGTCATCTGTTTTATTCATTCTCCTTTCCCTGTTTTTTGCAGACTTATTCCGTTGCACTCAACAGTGATGATGCCGTGGCTCCATCCACAAGGTAAAAATAACCTTCAGATTAACATTTCTCAAACGGCAAACCAACACTCAGACAACACGTTCAGCGCTTCAGCCTGGAGGACTTTATTCCCCCGTCCCCCAGCGGAGTGCCTGCAGGATGTCCGGTGTGATCGAACATCCACGCAGTCCTTCCGAGAAAGGTTGTCTCAAGATCCACCCCACCGTCTATCTACATGTATCAGTTAGGGGCTGCTTTCAGCTGTTTCCATTAAAGCACCTTTTATCCAATCCCTCTTCCCCGAGGGCATGCGAAGCTTAAGATCAGAAGGCCTGAACGACCAAATATAGAAACCGGAGTGGAAACACAGATGCCTCTTTTTTTGTCGGTGGGTGATAATCAGCCAACGGAGGGGTCTAAATTGATCAGGATACTCATTAAAGTGAAAATCTACAAAAAATCCTAATATAGGATCTTTGCTTGAGTTTCCCAAAATACGATTCACATCCTGTTTCTGGTCCAGAATTGATCATTCTTTAGAATTTCAAGGTGGACTGAACCCTGCATATTATGTTCTGTGGGTTTCCCAGTGAGAGATTTCAAAGCCTTATCTTTGTCGGCTTTAAAGTTGACTGTCTCTCTGAAAAATATTTTTCCCATGGAAATGCCCGGATTGATTAACTGGTTTCCCTATTAAGCCTGTGCGCCTCTTGATCGTCACTCGTTGCGAAGTTTTTCGGAGGATCAGTTGCTTCCTTTAAAGAGAAGCTTTGGACCAGAGCCATTGATAGAGAGAGTTGTGACATGAGGGCATCAGCTGTTGGAACCAAAATGGTGGATTATGCGTTGGCGCCCATGGACATTAAGCACACAGTAGCTGCATGCTATACAGCACACATAATGAACGGCCATTTTGGTTCCAAAGTTTGAAGTTGGCTTTACCCTCTCTATATACAGCTCTGCCTCAGACAAGTCACTGTAATTGAATATATTTTGTGGGTCGGAGTACGCGAAAGTTTTTCAACGGAGACAAGAACAAGTACTTTTCCGCAAGTAGCTTCAGAGCTTTTTTCTCTACTATCTGCATTCGTCGTGCCACTTCTTTCCCAAGTTTGCTTTTGACAAAAATTCAGCTTGTATCGCAACGTCTAGGCTGTGTTTCCTTCTTTGTCTTGTTACAGTCATGAACAACCAAAAATCAAACTAGAAAATCCCTCCAGAACAGATGGTCCACAGGAAGGCTTCAATGGCAGCAAGAATGTGAGTCTCATTGGTGCTTTATTCATTGGTTGACTTCTGCCTCAATTTATGCAACGTTTTGTTCCACATGCAAATTTGACATTGCCTAATACACACTCTACATAAAAATTATTCCTACATTCCCTGTCCTATAGTATTTTTAACTCTTTGTATGTGGTCAAATCTCCTCTGCGTTGAAGTTTGCGATACTGTTAATTTAACCCCTTTGCTACGGAGGACTGCTGCTACCGCACCGTTGTGTGAGGATTAGTGCATACCACACATGCAGTCTATTCACCATGCAGCTGCTGGTTCAGTGTGGGCCTGCTGCTAGACAAAGTCCTCCATTCAGGGCATACCACAGCCCAGCAGTCGCGGTCAATTTAATCCGGCCGTGAAGGGGTTAGCAAATAAGTATGTCCACTCACAGACGTGCAGAGTAACAGAGCAGAGAACCTCACAAGCGGCGGATGCTTTGCTGAAGCATTTCATTCAAATGTCAGTTCGGTATAAAAGTGCTTGCAGTGAAGACCGGTGTACTGGCCCTTCTAATTTGTAGGGTGGCCGACAGCAGTGGTTGGACACAACGTTAGCGTCCCGAAGAAAACGGCTCTACCATCACTTTGAGGACTTGGAGCAGTGTTACTTCAGCATCAGGCAAAGCGACATAGCACCTAGTAAGTTAACAAACCAACCTTGCACAGTTGGTTGTGGGCACCCTGACTTCCGTATTAAGAGTGCAAGCAAACCAATCAGGTACTTTGGAGCCTAGCATCACTGTGCACAAGGACTTCAAGTCCACTCGCTCCTGCCCACAGACTCGGTCACGATACTCTGTGTCTCAAGCAGCCACGTTAATTTGCTGTACTCACGATTTGACCGTTGTGTCTTCCTCCCCTCTCCTCTTCTCCCCCTCCCCCCCCCAAGGTGAGAGCAGATCGAGTGAACAGCTCACACAATTCACAGACAGCCTCTCCAAGTTCACCCGTTACAGTTCCATCCGACCACTTGCCACACTAAGCTATGCAGACGTCTACAATGGATCCAGTATAGTCTCAAGGTAGGTCATCCCACCAAGTGAGGTCTGCTCCAAAATCCGAGAAAATCCTTTTGAACCATGCAGATTTCTCAGTTAATCACGCCCATTTGTCAACATTTAAGCTTAAATTGCCGTACCATCAGAACTAAGTCGACAAACCTTGCAGCCACCTGTGACGTCAGACATACCTTAGGCTGATGATTTAGGGATATAAACTGACGAAGGTTTTTGATGCCTCGCTGCTGAAGCCAGTCAGGCATATTGTTTCTCCTGCATAGATTCAACTCTCTGTTCTTTCCCAGTATCGAATTCGACAAAGACAACGACTTCTTTGCAATAGCCGGCGTCACCAAGAAGATCAAAGTGTTTGAGTACAGCGCCGTGGTCATGGATGCTGTAGACATCCACTATCCTGCCCACGAGATGGTCTGCAACTCTAAGATTAGGTACGGCCAAAACTCACACAATCTCTGACGTCGTTCCCCCCCGAGAAAAAGAGCGGTGCAAGATCAATAGATTCAGTCCATTTCCAAACTTTGTAATGTACTCTTTATCATACTTTTTTGCATAGGAGTGAAAAAATCAGGGCATTTGTAGCAGTGGGTGCTGTCAAGCAACACTTGGCTTCAGTTTTGACATCAAGTTGAAAGTTGTTACTGCCTTTTAGCGCAGGATCTGCTGAAATTTATTTCTATTTATATTCTAAAAGTTTTGGATGATAGTCCTCCCAGTTTATTCGTGAGATACCTAGTATTTTGCCGTCAGGTCGTCGTTCTTAAGACCTCCAGATTGGCCAGCCAAATCTCATGTCCACCTTCTGTTTTTGTGTTTCTTGAATCGGTTCCAACATAGTTGTGTCTGTTGGAGTGCCTATCACAAGGGCATCCTGGCAAGCAGTGACTACGAAGGGACGGTTACGTTATGGGACGCGTTCTCGGCCTCCAAGGTCCGGTTATTTCAGGTGAGACATTAATTCTGTCATCTCAGTGGTGATGCCCTTTAACTGTGTACAGATGTGCAGCATTTCCTCAGATCAGCTGATTTTCTCCTTTTTATTCTCATTTCTGTCATCCAAAATTGAAAAACCACTGTACAGAGCCTTCTGAAGTTTATAATCGCTCTTTCTTCGAGAGTTTATAAACAGTTGTGTGCCTGCTATGCAGAGTTAGACCTGCTGGCTGGGTATTCAACTAGCAACGACAGAAACCAGTCACCCAATTTTACATTTTTTCTTTGAGATTGTATACATTATGTTTGATTTTTGTAATGAAGCACCAAGCAATCTGCTCGTGGGCTTGCATGCAAGACCGTGTCCAACAGTAGGGATGTGACTGACATTAGCACATTTGCCTATGAGAGTCACCTCCCAGCGGCTGCAGCCTTTTTCCCATAGGCATGTGTTACTCTCAGCCGTAGTCAGTTGATTTTGACACTGCTTAAGTGGTGGCTTCTTAAATACTGATTATGAGCGATCTGGTCCCAAATTAAGTGGTACATTTCTTTTGCTTAACCACTTCCTGCTTGGGAGCCTGGTTTCAGGCACTGTGTGTTTATACGCGTGGCCGGGGTCTCCGAAATCGGACAAAGGGAACTTAGCCTTGTAACAAAAGACCGTTTTCGGAACAAAAGACCAGGCTGCTGGGCATGACCGACATTTTTTCCCTCTCAATAGTGGAGATAATCCAGCCTTGTTTTGAAACAGTATACCACGGTTTGGGGCATTTAGTGCGAGTGGATTACCACTGGGGACAAAAGTGTTCCACCACTGCAGCGATGAGCCACACAGCACCGCTGCATGCTAATCTGGCCCCTATTGAAAAGAGGTCAGCAGCGCACTGTGCCAGGTTCGTGAACAAAAGAAAGTTAAATAACACCGCACAATCTGGGCTCTCTTTACAAGGCTGCAGACCTGGCTGAAATACTCAGGCGTCAATAGATTTTGTCTGTCAGATTAGAGTGGCCACCAGACAGTAATTCATGTGGGTGTAAACGTCCATTAATTGAAATGATGAATTTTTGAAGAATTATGTGCACTGCATTTTTCAAACCACCCGGCAGCAAGTGGTTAAAGAGTGTTTGGGGTTGGCTTTGATTTTTATTCAGGAACACGAAAAGCGGTGTTGGAGTGTCGATTTCAACAGGGTGGATCCGAAATTCCTAGCGTCAGGGTCAGATGATGCCAAAGGTAGGGTAAGATGTGACAGGATGTTGCCCAAAAATCCAACATGGAGCGAAAACTCAATATGGGCTTCTTATTCATGTACCAGGATTGTGAAATGGTGACACTTTGCCCAGTCTTTGATGTCTGCGCTAGCAAGCTTCAGGTTGTGGATTCAAGGCACGGCTGTAAAAGCTTGTGAACGTTTGTTTGGAACTAACTCCTCATAAGCATCGGGTGTTCAGTGCCCACAGCAGCACATCTCTTGTCAGAATTTGTTTCTTCTTTTGTCAAATTATTTAATTCTGTCTTGTAAAGAAACAAAGAGTTCCTTAAAAGTGAACTATCACTTCAAATCACATGCCTGAATAAATGCAAGAGAGAAAATACAGAAAGAATGTTTTTTGTAGAGATGAAAACCCTTGACATGATGTTCCTGAGAAAAACCCCCAGCATTAGAGACCGTCTCCATCCAGTGTTCTGTGGGAGCATGGATGAGATTTGAACTGGGTTTGCAGAGAGGGAAGACCCAAATATCTCTGCGCCAACTTGATTCCATCTCTTTTCTCATCGGCCAGTCAAACTCTGGTCAACGAACCAGGAGCGTTCGGTGGCCTGCCTGGAGGCCAAGGCCAATGTCTGCTGCGTCAAGTTCAATCCCTCCAAGATGTACTCGTTGGCGTTTGGTTCGGCGGACCACTGCGTCCATTACTACGACCTCCGCTACCCCAAGCAACCGCTCACTGTTTTCAAGGGTCATAAGAAGGCCGTGTCCTACACCAAGTTTGTCAACTCGGAGGAGATTGTCTCTGCGTAAGTAGTTCAGCATGCAGACATTTTCTTTTCCTTTCAACAATTTTTCAGAAATGAAAAAAAGTTCTTGATGGGCTGACATCTGCCATGGGCAGATGGGCTGTGGCGACTTCATTTTTGGGGGAATCATGAAATCTTGTGCTGTCCCAAAGAGTGGGGTAGGAATTATTGCAGAAAACAAGCCTGAAAAATTAAACTCAGTCTAACTTACACAAATAATAACAAAGTTGACAGAGAAGTTACAATCAGAATGTTGGACCGATCTTCAGACAGAAGGGGACACATTTTTCGAAACTGTTTAGTTTTTGATGGAATTTTGGAGGATGTGTGTCTCAATCTAAAAAACCACCCAGAGAAAAGAAAAGTATGGTGCAGTTTTTACGTCGCTGCATCAGTTAAACAATGACTTACCTGTACGATTTTTAATCAGTTCTATGTGTTCATCTGTGTACGTTCAGCTCCACAGACAGCCAACTGAAGCTGTGGTCAGTGGACAAGCCCCACTGCTTGCGGACGTTCCGCGGTCACACCAACGACAAAAACTTTGTCGGGTTGACGGCCAACGACGACTACATTGCCTGCGGCAGCGAAAACAACTCTCTGTATCTGTACTACAAGGGTCTTTCCAAGCAGCTGGTCACCTTCAAGTTTGACACAGTCAGAAGCGTCCTAGTAAGTAGCCTTTCTGTAAGCCCTGCTCGTCAGGCTATTAAACAATCTGGAGACGGTGGCTATCGCTGCTGTACCAAGTTTTACAGCCCAGACTCATATTATTCAGGCTGACGGCCCGGTTTCTACTCGTCAGTGTCTTTCTTGTCTTTTACTAACCACTAAAGAAGACATCAAATTTTCATGCACAGATGGCCCCTTTTTTTTGCAAAAATACTTCCGAGGTAAAAAAAAATTCTAAGATCCAACTTTTACAAAATCAAAGGTTAAATTGCAGCATGGATGTGATCGATTACCTCCAATTCAGGATGGCGTGAGTAATTTTTATATTTGACAATACCAGCAATTCGCAGTAGTGTGCCTCCAAGAGTTTGGAACGCGTTGGCCAATCACAGTGCGCGAAATCTGTCGACCCAACGTGTGTTTGGAAAGGGTTGACTGATACTGCTCATTATGATCGGCCGACGTGTTGCAAACTCTTGGAGGCAACCTATTGTGAATCCAGGGCTCGAAATTAGCAGGTGCAGGTAGCTCAAAAACACCTGTTTGTCTTATAAATGCATCCCTAAATGATAAAGAAAAGCGTTAGTACTAATGCCCGCTTGTTTCTATTCTTGCCATGAAAAATAGTCAGGACCAACGGTACTGGAGCTCCGTAATGCACGCGACTGAATCTACTGCACATTGTACATGTACATGCATACGATGATACGAATCTGCTGTGCGACCGGCCAGCTCGAAGCGCAAGCCTTGTTTGGAAACAGCCTCCTGGGACCATCCGGTCATTGTGCTGTGATTGGCTGCCAAAGAAACATCAGTATTTGTATTTGTCAGTGGGACTTATTACAGCCGTTCCTGCGTGAGCAGAATTTGTGACTAACAATGCCCACAATAACTTGCAGTAGTGCACATTTCATTGAATTTACGGCTTGACATTAAGGTTAATACATTTTTGCTTTCACTGATAGAGGGCTTTGTGACAACTGGCGCGGGCCAGGGCGTGCAAAGTTACTGTGTCATGCATCATCACGGGGGTTTTAAGTGCTCTGTGTGCATTGTTTTGTACGAGCTTCAAACAAATTTTGTACATTAACTTATCGAAACGTCAGTACAACAAAAATAGTTGTCTGAAGAGGCTCTTACATGGACACATTTTTTGACCAGACCGATCCTCAAGTTACAAATCCACGGAAAAAAAAAACAGTGGATGAAATACACCGTAGACCATCAAAATCACTTTTTGAAGTTAAAAAAAAATTCTCCACCTTAGAAGTTTTGACCCAAAACTATAGAAGAAAAAAAAAGAGACTACCACTTACCCAACCTATTTTTTTCAATGTAATGATGGTAAGCACAACTTTAATATTGTTAGGCGTTAAGTTGTTTAATTTTCTAGAACATACATGGCGTATGGAAGCTTCCGTAAGCTGACAAATTCAGCCGTCCAGGGAGCAAGCACTTGCTCCCGTGATGGTCGGCCCAATCTCGAGCCCTGGAATCGCCTGTATTCCTCTTCCCCACTCTTAATTTGGGTTCCCAAAGTGATTCTCATTTTAAAAAAAATTCTGCAAACTGAAAAATCAATTCAGCAGAAAGCTTTGGGTATAATACGGGCGATGAAAATTGTGGAAATTGCGCTGTCGAGATGTGTATCGATGTCACCTTCCAGCTAATTGGCTTACAGTTCCTCGGCCTTGTTTTGGGAATGGTGATTCTTAGATCCAGGATTTTGGTTTCTTCTAACAGGACAAGGAAAAGAAAGAGGAAGATGCCAACGAATTTGTCAGTGCTGTAGCCTGGAGAACAGTAAGTGACAGCTGGATGAACTTTCTACAAATTCTAGTCCGACCACTTTCAATGCCACCCTCTGCACCCTCCTAGTTCTTTTTCTCTTGAGTTTTATACCCATTCATTGCATGTTGTGGCGATGTAACCCGCCTGTTGGGAGATGGTATTGTTCGTCTGTTGAATATGTAAATATTTCAATCAACTTGTCAATTGATGTACTCAAAATGAAGGATGGCCGTCTGACCTTTGGGAAAGTAAAAGTTGACCTTTGTACCTCAGTGCAGTCAGCAGTGGTTTTTGGAGGATTTATGGACATGCCTCTTTGAGGCAATTTAAATGATTGTTGATAAGTTCGCCTGTGGAAAATATGCAAAATTCTGTTTCATCTTTTCTTGTCAAAAATGAATGGGATTAAATCCGTCTCCTCAAATGAAAGGAATCTATTCCTTCAAACTCAACAGACCCTGTTCATTGGGAAGCCATGTTCTATTGTGTTCCTTGAATCCTTCCTATTCAATGCAATCTGCTAAATGGGATGTGCCAGAATATCTTGGATTCCATACCTCGCTTTCAATTTTTTTTATGTGGCTTAGATCATCTAGATATAATTTATCACAAATTTTAGATTATTCTGAACAAACAGTGGCATGAACCTGTACGAACCTTTGTTTTTACTCTCGGGTTCCCCAAAATGAAAGAAAATTTTCCTCACTCACTTTCAATTCAAGATGGCCGACACATGAATATGGCCGATTCAAATGTAATGATTCTTTTCTCTCGACCTCACCTCCAGGGTTCTAATGTTCTAGTCGCAGCTAACAGCCAGGGCACAATCAAAGTGCTGGAGCTGGTATGAAACACGCCACATCGCCGCGCCTCTGCATTTGCGTTGTCCCTCCTGTTTTCAAGACTTGCATCAGTACGCGCAACTTTTCTGTTTCATGCGTTGGGGACTGGAAGTAATCGTTCCGTCTTTGCTCCCGGAGTAATTTGTTCCAGTATCGTGCTCTTGTCCCATTTTCCAGGCTGTGCCGTCTGTCATTGTTGAGTTTGGTTACACGGATCAATGTCGTCTAGGAGCTGAAAATCTTGTTAACTAGCTGTTGAGTGGATGCTTGGACTGTTAACCACTTTTTTGGGGGGGGGGTTGAGTTGTGGATGTTGGCTCCCGAGCAGGAGTTCTTCACAAGTCTTGGATCAGTTCTGATTAACAAGGAACGATGTGCTACGGATGAGACCGGCAACAAAGATGGCTTGTAGAGTGCTTCCATTTGCCACATCACTCGCTCAAACATTTGGCCGTCTGGTGTTAGAATAGCCTTCCTTGTCCAAATACACACCTGCATCATATGTCATCGACCAATCAGCCAGGCCTGACTCTCCACGTTTGGCCAATCAGATCAGAGCTATCTCTGGTAGGAAATAGTGATGTTTGCAGGGGCCGAGCAACGGCGGAACTCAGTGTGGTGTTACAGACCAGTCCAGCACAGTTGACCAATCAGTTCTATTGCGACTGCACAGTTGACCTCGGTAATTTCTGCGCAACACTGTGACCGAAAGGACGCCCATAATCCTGGAAACGTCTGCTTACAGTATTCATCGACAATACTTGGAGTAGGCTCTCCCTTTGCCACGTCACATCGCAGAGATCTCTTGGTTGCCATCAGTATTGTAGTCGAGTACTTTTGGAGTTCCAAGTTCTCTGCCAAATATTGAAGTGATCAGGAGGGAACAAAGCTAGACAATCAGACCAAGTACTTTATCAAGTACTTTTCTCTCAAACTGGGAGCATCTGAAGTCCTAAGTGTAATCTTTAATACCTTTGTGCATACACCATCCAATGTCCTCTGTTACTTCCGACCCAGTTGGCCTGGCTTCTACCCATATTTGGCTTTGAACTTGATACTCACGAAGTACGCCAATACAATACCGGTTGGCATCAAAACATTTCGTCCAAGCCCCAGTTATGCCCATTAGCAGGTTTTAATTTTTTTTTTCAGAGTTTGGTAGAAGTGGGACATTCTTGAAGATGATGTCTTTTAATAGAACCGTAACTTTTGTACCAGTGAACTGCTCTTTACATCTTACAAGGCTCTGCCTCCGAGAATACAAGAGTTTTTTAGTTTTCCAGTAATTCTTGAGAGCTGAAACTTGCTCGCCGCAATCCCTAAAGTTTTGCAAGACCAAATGAAAGTCATTGTATTCATTTTTGATATGTATTTATTCACTTGCATAAAGGCGCAACAAAGAAAAACTTGCAAAGAAGAGATTGTGGAGATTTTTTTTCAAAGAAAGCACGCCGAAAACATTACATTATTTGCAAATCAAATTGTTTGGCATTTTGCCAAATGTCGGTGAAAAGGACTCGCCTTACATTTTCCTTTTTCACAGTTCACCGCAGCGTTTTCTGTTGTAACCCCCCATACAAAATTGTCACAGCTGTGGACGTTGTGACAAGCTAAATGAAAGTTTTCAAAGCGCTTGCTTATCTTGAAGAAATCTAGTTCCCCTTATATTGTCGTTCACACAGTAATCAATAGGTATTTCTACAATCATACATTGATTTCTGATGTGAGAAATTGGGGACAAATCTTACCTTTTTTTTATGAAAGTAAATTTCATGCTAAATTTCACGTCCATTTGAGATAAACCTTTGACTTCAGAGAAGCTGTTTTCATCAAAACGGCAATTTGGGTCCGAACGTTGTCGGTAAGTTTAAGTTCTGTAGGAAAAGGATTCCGTTTTCCTCACAGAAAGTGACAAGTTGTGTTAGAAGTGGTATCTATTTATATAAAGTGTGCAATGGAAGCGAGTGCAGCAAGACAGTTCGGGTTTGAAGAAAGGTTCGATACTTAATATATTTATGCCATATATATGCAAATGTATTTTTAAAATTCCATTTTTTTTCTTAATTATTCAGCAATATCTGCATATATTGCAACCAAGGAATATTTGATTCCAAGAGTCCAATGGCTAAAATCTGTCTGGGGGAAAATTTTGAAATCGGTTCGTTTCTTGAGTGATAGAACATTTTCAGATTATCTAAGTACATGTATTAAATGAAGGCCAGAATGCAAAATTAAACAAGGTTACTCAAGGTTTTTACCGTGGTATAAACCTCAACTTACTTACTAGTTCTTTAATTTTGCATTTGTCCATTCAGTGACATCTACAGTGTAAGCTAGCATCACGTTCTTGGAGCACATTCACGTAAATTCTTACAAATCGTTTTTCCTCCAAAAACGTAAACAAGAACTTCCAATAGTTGGCGTTGCATAGTTGACATAGTTGAGCATATTTCTGTTAGCCTGCGTACACCTTTTAATTTATTGGCAATTTTCTGGCATAGTGATCTGCATTACTGTCTGAACAAATATGGATCTATTTTTTATAGGTCCCACCTTTAAATAGTCTGTGGAACCCCCCGTTTTGTTCAATTTTTTTTTTTCTACAATTTTACTTTATATTATAGGGGCACACTAGTGATTTAAACTAATGGTCTATTCCGTTTCGTTGAAATTGTACTGTACAGACTCGTTTGTATACAAATGTAATATTCTTGTATATATTGTATGATTGACCTCATAAAATAAACACCAAGACAAAAGCTGAACAGCGTGTTTGACTATTCTTTTGGTGTCAACACAAAGGTTATGACCTTGGGACTTAGACGCCCGGGTTATTTGTACCTGCCTTTGAGGCTTAAAGTAGGCCCGGCCCACTATGATCTTTTGAACTTGCATCCTAAGGCAGGCCTAGATCATTTACTGAATAAAAATTACCCAATTTTTTGGACAATCAGATTACTTGAAAATTATAAACATGACTGTATTTCCTTAGAGCACATGCCACAAGGTTTCTTGCATTCAAGATGTTTGAAACGGCGGCAAAGTATTAATTATTCTGGAAACTTCCTACCTCAATCTATGAAAACAATGAGGTACTGAAGTTTAACATCTTTAACCCTTTATAAAAAGTAAGTTTCTGGGTTGTTTAAAGAAAAGTTGTAAAGTTATTAAGATAGGATAAAGATTTTGACACTTGAAATTGCTTGAACATTGCAGAGATGTCTTTAGATCCATAAACATTATCACCAGTAATCCTGCCAGATAATGAAAGGGCAAGCACGTGTTTTGATAAATGGGCAAAATCTCACTTTTTTCAAGCAAATGCCTTTTTCTGCACAAATCTGTGAAATACTGAGATGTGAAATATTCAAATCATTTTACCTTTCATCAAAAGCCATTTCTTGGTCGTTAGCAGAAAAGCAAATTTTTGGGCCAAGAATCGGACCTGTTAATGGTAGCACATAAGTGTTAAACAAACTAAGAGCATTTTGCCAATATTAAGCAATTTATTCATATAAATTGCACAAAAGATTGCAACACAAATACAACATGCAGTTTCTAGTACAATATTATAACTCATTTGACACGTTCCAAAAAATTTGGACAAAATTTGTTGAAAGTCTGGCAGCATTTGCTTTCTAGAACATAATCAGTATTAACTTCAAGTTTAAAAAAGCACTTGGCGTTTTGCAAGGAAGACAATACATACTTTTGTCGGTCCTTGCTGAAGAATATTTGAACTGGTGATTTTAATCATTCATAATTTTGCTGTCTATATATAAACAATAGGCCTACTGTGTTCATCCAAAAAATGTGAAGTACTCAATTTCTGGGCTTGAGCAGAAATATATAATCTTATTTACAAATATCAACATTCTTGATTCCACATACCAACCTCGAAAATCTTGAATAATGCTCGCAGTCTAACTGGAAAAATCAAGGGGAGTAAAACATTTGGAAAAAAAAGAATTGAATATCAATGTGTTGAACCTTTTGTGTCAATTAAAATACACTTGCTCTGTTTAAATTTCAACTGCAGATACGTGCATCATATTCTGGACCAGTTGAATTCCAAATAGAACGCACACCTTAACGTCCAGTTTACTTCTAATTGAACTTTAAATATAGTCTTTATGTCAGCGTAGGTTAATATTGTACTATATGGCAAAAAAGAAAACGATCATTCAAATTAGTAGTAGCCACTGTGATGGCCACGCCATCACGGCTGTGGCTACAAACAGCCAATCTGGTGGCCACTGGTCACAATCTCAGTCAAGCAACATACAGTGGATAATGGCCAATGCTGTGGTCAGTATGGAGGCCAACTGGCCAAAACACTGGCCACTTCTTGAAATCTTCGTCATCCCCAGTGGCCTGGTAACACCTTACTCTCTGAGATAGAAGGGCTAGTCATTATTTCTTGGTAAGCCAGTCCAAGTCGTCATCGTCATCGTCAGATCCGAACAGCGGAGGGGGAGACTGAGGTTTGGGCGACTGGCAAAGGAAAAAAGCGATGGAACTGCAATCATTACGGAGTCACGTTAATCCCTAGCCATTTCTCATTCTACATCACACCAAACCATATTCGGTTGGCCTGAGCGTGGGGCTCTAAACCAAACATGTCTATAGGAAGTGGCTCCCCACCGCTAGCCACTGGCATCCACAGACACACATTTCATTCCAGGCTTAGCCAATATACTCAGACACAGTCTTAAGACCAAAAGTGTTTACGGCTAGGTCTAGAATGTACATGTGTTCATGGGGACAACAGACACAGCCGTAGCCATAACTCTGGAAGCCCATTGCAGATACAACCTTACAGTGTAAGTACATGCATGCTAGTACCACAGGTGGGGGACCACATACGTTGGGCATGAGCTGCCGTGAAGACCAAAATCGTCATGGAGACAATTTTTTTGTTCCCAGGCCTCAGTCCTTAATTTCTGACAAGGAAATTATCTGCCTAACACTGAGCCGACCAGGGGCCAATTTCTTAGAGCTGCTTAAGCACAAAATTTGCTTAAGTGCCAAAAGCCTTGCTTAAAAACAAAGGTTACCAGCTCAAATTCTTTATGATTGTCAGGCTCACCAAAAGACGGGTGAATACCATTCCAAACCAATATACATCACATGGAGTTTTGGCTGGTAACCTGAATTGTCAAGCAGGGTTTTTTTCAGGCTTAAGCAAATTTTGTGCTTAAGCAGCTCTATCAAATTGGCCCCAGTGCATGTATACTAAACGATGCCATCCACCGACCCAATGTACAGACCCATCCCACAAGTTGTACCTTGGACAGCAGGTACCGTGTGGTGCGCCGATTTGCTGTGTTGTGGTGCCCGACGACAAGCAAACATTATGGAAGAGATTTTCAAACCTCAGTTTAAAACACGGCTCGCAGCAGAGCGAGAGTAGTGAGTTGGCATTTAAACAAGTGACCCTGTTACTTATAATATCTATGACCAAACCTTACAAAATGAAATGAAGTCACACAAGCCACTGCTGTGTCAAAGACCTGACCCCCTACAATGTAAATCACCAGACATCCATCACACTTCAATCACCCACTGTCCATCTGCACCAGGATGCCCAACTGCAGTAAAAAGGCCTCAAGCTTGCTCTTTCTAAATCCAACAATTCAAAACCGAACTACTGAAAAAAAAGAAGAAATGGTCTGAACGCATCATGTGTGATCTAGACACACAGAAGACGCTCAACACCCACATTTGTCATCTATCAGTAACAAGACCACAGTCTACAATCCTGCCTGGCTCCCTCCACCAAATGTCGTGCAAACACGACCATCTTTTACTTTCAATCTTACACGAGGGGGGCATGATTAACACTTACATCGCCGTCCTCGGCATCTTTCTTGACGACGGGCTTGGTGATGGAGGATTTCTTAAGCAGTTCCTTCCTCTTGGTCGGGGGCGTGGAGAAGAATTCATTCTCGTCCTCGTCATCATCATCACCGAAGATGTCATCCCTGTCCACGAGAAAAACCACCGTCATTTATGCGAAGCAATCATCCGAGGCCCATGTCTGGCTTTTCAACGATTGACATTCAAGCGCTCGAGTTCTTTCAGCCGAGCTTTTGGTTTTTCAAACCTTATTTTTATTTTACGTCCTCATAGTTGAAACTTGTTGGACTTGGAAAAGGACTTAACTAAAACACGGCTATAGCTACCCTTTCTAGTTCTTAGACAAAGGCTGGAGATTATAAAATGATGGCACATAGCACTAAAGGAACTGAGACAGAGGTTCTTACGTGGCACTCTTGGTTTTTGGCTCGTCTTCGTCTTCCGGGGGTAGCTCCGGGGGAAGGCTGGGCAGGAATGGTGGGGGAGACATGGCCGGGGGTGGTGCACTCTCTGTGGTTGTGTCGTCCGGTTCGGTCTCACTTTGGGGGGAGAAGTCCGGCAGATCATCTATGGTGTCCTGGGGTGGAATTTCGGGGACCTGGTGAAATGAGGAGGAAACGGAAGTTTGAAGACATGCGCAGGCCTGAAAAGTTGCCTGAGATGTTCAATGTGACATTGCCTCGGGGTTTACCTCAGCTTCTGGTTCAGCATCTTCCTCTGCTCTGTTCTCTTCAACATCCTCATCTGCATCAACCTCTTCTTCACCGTCTTCCGCATCCTCATCTGATGGAGGTGCCTCAGGAGGGGCATCTGGGGGCAATTCGGGTGGAAGACTTGTTGGCCCTTCGTCCTCCTCCTCCTTCTCCTCATCCGATTTCTCTGGAGGCAAGGATGGCTCTGTGGCTGTCTCCGTAGGGACCGCATCCTCCAGGTCCTCGGTATCTCCTGCCTCTTTGGCTTCTGCCTCCTCGATTGCCGTCTCCTCCTCTGAGGTGCCTTCTTCATCGCTGCTCTCACCATCGTCTTTGTTGTTGCTCTCCCCACCGTGGGGCTCTTCGTCTGGGACGTCAGGCAGATCAGGGATGTCCTCTGGCTCGTCTTGCATCTGACCTGGGCCAGAGGGAGTTTGGGAAGACGGTGGGGCAGAGGCTTGGGCTGCCTCCTCAACTGGAGGACTAGATTTCTGAACCACCTCTTTAGCTGGTTTGACTGGCGTCTCCTCATCTGGAAAGAACCAAATAAAGATACCAAAGCTTTTCTACTTGCAACACAGCAGGACGATAAACTGAGTTTTACAGAGGTTAGTACAGAAACACCCATTTCTCTTTAGTAGGGCACTTATCAACTACCACATTCTACGGCATTCTTTAGCAGGCATAAGCATTCCCCCTCCCCTCAACTCAGTCTAGAACTTGTAGGTGGCGATTTTCTGGCCAACTCTCGATTGCCCACGAAGGACACACTGCGTATACGCACTTGTTTACAACTGTGAACGGAGGCAGAGTGCAAATAATCAAATTTTCGACGGAATGAACACAAAGGTGCTGCACGAAAAGAATGCAGCTGAGCACAAACACGACACAGAAAAAAGATACTTGTCTGCAGGAGAGAAATGCCTCTGCATTTCAGGGGTAGGTTTGCGCGGTTCACGTAACGGATCAAGAACCTCTTGAATTCAATTCGTACCTTCCTCGCTCTCCTCTTCACTGTCTTCATCTTCTTCACTTTCTTCTCCTTCATCTTCATCTTCTTCCTCCTCCGTGCTGCCTCCCGCTGACCTCTTCACAAGTTTCAAGGTTACCACCTTGAGAAAAACAACGAGTTGATGTCAATGAATGCATCTGGTACCTATTCTATCCATACAGGTTTTGCTGAGAGTAATGCGATGCTTAGCAACGACACCTGACTTTTTTTCACGTTTGAATCATTTGTGGTTCTGATGCAAATAGCGCAACTAGCCTGGGCCACGCATCAATTAATGCATGAAGTCGTTTTCCATGAAAGGTGCAAAAACCCTCTGAGAACCGTTGTTTGATGAGAAATAAATTAAGTTACAAATTCAAAATGCCAAATACATGCAGTGCATGGCACTGAGAAATGCAAAAACAAAAAACTATTACAAATTTTCAAACGTTTTTCTGTTTGAATTTGGTATACACTGATTATTATGATGCTGGGATAATGTCATCATGCAGTTTTGTCAGGTATATAGTCCGAGAACAAAAAAGCAACCTCTGAATAAAAATACACACCATTGCTAAAATAAACCGATTGGCACATCTAATAACAATCGCCATGATTGAAAATACAACAGTTACTCATCAAAGTAACACTTGCAAAAGTGATTTCATGCATTGTAACAAGCTCATGCCAATTGTGGAAAGCTACTTACAAGGAAAAGCACTACTGAAATGAGTGACGACGAACGAGAGAGCCCAGCGTGCCTCTCAGATAGAGGCCTGATCAAACTGCTCAGAAATCCACTCCAACGCCCCCCCCTTCTTGGGGGGGATTCACTCGGCACCCAGCCAAGTTGCTGCACTAGCAAGCCCTCAGAAATGGTTAGAATGCCAATGCTTTTTCTGTTCATCAGCTCCATCCATTTGGATCGATACATTCAAGTGCACTCTTAAAACCATATTTTTTCTCTCTTTGCAGGGGGGTTGTAAACTGTTACGACTGCTTGTAAGTCAACTTTCACAGAACCACCTTGGATGAAATTGTCAATCTTCGACGTGATAATTTCAAAAAATACTTCATGGAATCACATCATTTATTGCACAAAAATTCAGAGAAGAAATGAAAACCCAAATCCCCCGGTACATTATACAACACTATTTCAGTCCATGCAGTTCCGGTTAACCAAAAATAACTGTTCAAACAAACGCTACAAAGTCAAATTGCAAACTACCAAAATACCCTCTGCATAAAAATAATGCCTTATGTATTAAATAGGCAAAATATTTGCACACAGTTCAATATCTAAGTTTCAACACTCCGTTGTGCTTGAAAGCAACGGGCTACCCGCCGAAAACACATATGCTGTGATATGCATCGGCTTATCACTGGTTCCCAGCATATTTCCATATTTCCCAGCATACCTCATTATCTACATCACATTTCTATCAGCCAAGAGTATTCACAATGATCTTTTCTGCAAACACTTTGATGCAACATAAACGGAAGAATCTCAGACACTCAAATCAAAACAACGAAATATTCAAAGATTTCTACCATTTTTTGGGGTAATAATCAGACTGAACCCTCCCACTGAACCAGCTGACAAGTCTATGACACATAATATTTATACGCGTATCCTTTCATTCACAATGCATTTACAGATCAGCATAACATTGTGCTATGTGTATGTACACATAACGTTTACATTGGCTATTCTGACGCAACTATATATATATATCTACAAGTATCATATATCATATTTTTCAGGCATTTCACTAAAATGGGGAAACTACTGAACTACTGAGGTTAGGAAAGGCTTCCATGCGAGTTTCCAGCTCGTGTGACATTTCCAAACCATTTTGTGCTTTCACAGACAGCCCCACTCCCAACCCAACGACTTCAAATGTACAAAACGTCAGACACATTGTCATGTAGTTTCCTGCACGCAGATTAATTGCAAATGTCAACAGCTCAACAGCATGCCTATTTAAAAAAAAATTGACTTTTGTTATGACAGACTTGTTTGATGGATGTTTAACAATGTTTACTCAAGGACTATCCAAACCTGCTCCAGTCAGGGACGAAAAAGTTCTTGAATTTCAGTCAACACGTTACAAACCATAACAACTATCTGTTGATTCCAATTTCCATCACAATAAAATTTCAACATATGTAAGTGATAAAATTGTGTTTCTCAAAAAAAAAACAAACCAAAATTCTCCACCTGAAAAAACATCTGTATACAAACACAGTTTTTGCCAGCAAAAACTAAAAAAAAATTTCCTCTTTGGAAAATTTATTGAATGTGGACAAAAATTCAAACTTGGAATTCGGTATCAAATTTTGGAACAATCTGTCCAAAACATCTGGAATTTCAATACCATGAATTTATAAATCTGTTTCCTTAAGTTGGTCATTCTGTCTGGATGAGCTCATGTCAAACCCAAACTAATGAATTGAACTCAACTAGAAAACTTGAAACACTGAAAACTTTCCAACCAATTAAAAAAAGTTTTTAATTTGTCAAGTTTTCCGTCTGCTCCAGTTAAGTAACAAGAAGTGATGGAACTGACGACGCAACAAAAGTTAATTCCAAATCACGGACAACGAAACAAGCGTTCCACTTATTCCTACACCCAAAAGTGTCTTTGAGGTACAAACAGGGCAAGAAGATTCAGAGAAACCGATGTTCACTTCACATGAAACTACCACCGAGGGACCAAATTCCATTTGCTTAGAAACAGATGATTTCGTGTGTATCTTTCGTGGGACTGAGCCATAAAACCAAATGATTACAATAAAAAATGGCCCGTGTAGGTAAACGGCGTACTACGCAGAAGACTGTGGCAAGACTCGGACGAGTGTTCTTTGTTCCTCTCATTTTCAGTAGACGACTTACTTTCCGCATTTGTTGACACTCACCTTGATAGTGTTCATGATGGTGTTCAAGATGTCCGCTCCTTTGTAGTTGCCTCCTGGCTCAAACTCGCTCCTTAGTGTGTGATAAACACTGTTCATTATCTTTTTGACCTAAGGAAAAGAACGCATGTCGTTGAAATGTTACCAGGGCACTTGCAACTGCTGCTTTCAAATTTCCAGACTGTTGTGCGACCCATTTTTACATGTAGTCTGGCAAATAAGCGCTGGTTTCTGGGGGATCTGAGTTTCTGTCTCCGGTTGCTACATCGACCCACCTCGTCAATGATGTTGCTATGGGATGCGGCGCCGTCTCTCGTCTCCCGGTCGCGGATCATCTCCTTGATGCGATCCTCGTATCGCTCCTTCATGCTCACCGCACTGGAATGCAAACTATCGTACTGCAAAGCAACGCATCAACCAATTCCTTTCAGACTGATAAAGGACACTTGCAAGCCCACGAGAAAATAGTTTCAAAATCATTTCTTGGACTACGATCCACTCGTGTTCAAAAGCTGGCCCCTGGCCTCTGCGCATGAGCACCTCCTTAATCGTCACAAAGAGAGTTTCGGCCGACACTTGAGCGCTACTGCCCAAGTGAGACCATCTAATAATATCTTTCTAGGTAGTATGCAACAAGCTTGCTGGAATGCATTTTAGCGAGGGGATGCCAGGTGCCGAGACGTGCCTTTATGCCTACTGAAAGTAGGAGCGCTTTAGCAGTCATGTCATCAAAAAGTTGGGGGTGCTTGGCACACAAAAGCTGCATGCTACTGAGGAGTTGGGATTGGGGGCTGTTAACCACTTGCTGCCGGGTGGTTTGAAAAATGCAGTGCACATAATCGGGACTCTTTCAAGATTTTCAGTTTTCAAAATTCTTCAAAAATTCATCATTTCAATTAATGGACGTTCACACCCACATGAATTACTGTCTGGTGGCCACTCTAGTCTGACAGACAAAATCTATTTATGCCTGAGTATTTCAGCCAGGCCTGCAGCCTTATGCTACTGAGAGTGAAAAAATGTTGGTAATACCCAGCTGCCTGGTCTTTTGTTCTGAGTACAGTCTTTTGTTACAAAGCCAAGTTCTCTTTGTCCGATTTCGGAGACCCCGGCTACACTTATAAACACACGGTGCTCAAAACCGGAGTCCCGGCGGCAAGTGGTTTAGGCAAAGAACAGTTCCGAGAATGAACTGGTGAAACAACGCGGACAGTTATCAAAGCAAGTCTATTATGACCTCTGACCTTCTCCTTCCAACCGCTCATCTCTGACACCTGCTCCTTGAGTCGATTAGCTTCCTCTCTGGTTTCTCCTTGACCAGACCTCAAGGCTATCATCTATCGGACGAATAGACCGGTAAACAAACTCCCGAGGATTAACTTTGAAATACCAATCCACCCTGAATTCAATTTTCCTGGAAACGAGGGCTCCGTTGGTGGGTCGCTAGTTCACAAACAACTATGAAATGCATGCACTGAGGTCGCGCTGGTACAGACAGAATGAGTACTCTCCACCAACATCGTTCTTTCCAACCAATGTGGGGGTGCTTCTGCTCAAGGCAGATACAAAAAAAAAGACCAGGGCAATTTCTAACGACTATTCCTTTCATCTTGTGCCTTGCAGAGGTACAGCTGAGTGAGCATTTCGTACTGTTAAGAACTCCATAATATAAGTGGATCAAACGTCACAGTCCTGTGGTAACTAAAGCATCAAACAAAAGGGTACCTTTATATGCATTTTTCTGGAAAGATCTGACATCTCGTTTCTAGTCAGACAGTCAATATTGAACGGGGTAGGGGGGATCCAAGGTAGAGAACGATTGACAATGGATGGCAAATGCAAAAATACGTACAATTACAAAATGAAATGATGGCTTCACTCAATCACTGTTTACTAAAAAGGTTTTTTACGACAAAACGGCGCCAAAAAGTACTTGGCCGAGTACTTTCAGGCACCTTTCTTCTTAAAACTTACTGTTTTACAGAACTGGGAATGTCTGAAGTCCTAAATTTATTTTGTAATCTGCTTTGTTCCCTCCAGCCGAGTTCAATATTTGGCACAAAACGTGGTACTTATAAAGTACCGGATTAAAACACTGACCGAAACCCTTAACAAGAGCCTAAGAGTGCTTCTAATGACAGTCAGAGATGTTCACCCGCTGACTTACCTTCTGCTCAGTCTGGGCCAGTTTCTTGGCCAACGTCTCCTTCTCCTCGTTCAGCTCGCTGTACAATCTCTCATGTTTATCCCTTGCTTGGGCCAGGAGCCTTTCGGACCTCTCCCTCCACTGGGCTTCAAGATCCCGCTCAACCTGGGCAATCTATATATAAAAAAAAAGATTGCCGTGACTAACCCCAAATCTGTGCATCGAGAACCTTCACTGATCACAAAAAGCTCACAAGTAGGCTTACATGTTACACAAGTGAGACTTATGTGGGATAATCACTCTCTAAGGTTTAGGTAATGCTTCGATCTGCATACAATCCAATTCTGCTTGGCCAAAACAGATCACCAACCGACATGTTAGGTATTACAAGTACATGGCACTGGCTGGCACACGACTGAATACTTCCAGGCAGACTACTAGTACTCCAACCGACTGAATGGCGCTTGTGTTCCTATTAAAGCAAGACAATTGACTACAATCTAACAACAAAAAGAAGTGACTGAATACGCGCTTTAGGATTAAAGCCAGCTCCGGCTAGTACTCTACTGGAAAGCTGGAAAGGAGGCTTGTAGATTTCTGTGGAGAAAGTTTAGCGAGATGGCAATGCTTTTGATGTCAGGTTAACGTATTTGATGTCAGGTTAACTA